CCAATGTCCTAACAAAAGAATCATGGTGATAAGAGACAATGGAGAGTTTGAGACTGATGGAGAATTAGAAATTGACTATATACCACCAATAAAGGACATTGAATGTGCAGGATATGCGGTCACAGGAGAATTGTTAGTCACAAGAAGGGCTTTAAGTATGCAGACCAAGGTTGATGAGGGAATTCAAAGAGAAAACATTTTTCATATTAGGGGCCATGTACAAAACAAGGTATGTAGTATGATCATTGATGGAGGAAGTTATAATAATGCTGCTAGCACTATTTTGGTTGAAAAATTAGGACTGCTAACCATCAAGCCAAGCAGGTTTTGGTCTCGTTTCTCATTGGAAAATACAAAGATGAAGTCTTGTGTGATGTAGTACCAATGCAAGCTGGCCATTTGTTACTAGGCAAACCCTGGCAATTTGACCGACGAGTTAAACATGATGGTTTCACTAGTAAATACTCATTTGAAGTAAATGATAGAATTATCACTCTTTTGCCAATGACACCAAAGGAGTTCTACGAGGATCAAGTGAGATTGCAAAATGATTATTGTGAAATGAAAAGGAGTGATCAACATAAAGAGGCTGACCCGAATGAGAAAAAGGAAGAAATGGAACAAGCAGCAATGAAGAGAAAAGAAGAAAGAAAACAAAAGAATTTTTATGCAAAGGCAAGTGAGATCAAGAGAGCATTATTTTTAAACCAAACAATAGTTTTACTTCTTTATAAAGAGGCATTCTTAAACACTAATGAATGTGACAATACTTTGCCTAAATACTTTGTTGTTTCTCTTTTGCAAGAGTTTCAAGATGTCTTTCCTGAGGGTATTCTACATGGTTTACCACCCATTCGAGGGATTGAGCATCAAATTGATTTTATACCAGAAGCCACCATTCCAAACCATCCAGCTTATAGAAGCAATCCCGAGGAGACAAAAAAGTTACAAAGGCAGGTTGGGGAACTAATAGAGAAGGGGTATGTGAGAGAGAGCATGAGTCCATGCGTTGTTTCGATAATTCTAGTTCCTAAGATGGATGGGTCTTAGAGAATGTGCGTGGATTATTGAGCCATCAATAGTATTACGATAAAATATAGACACCCTATTCCTCGCTTAGATGATATATTAGATGAGTTACATGGATATTGTGTGTTTTCTAAGATTGATTTTAAAAAGTGGATATCATCAGATTAGGATGAAAAAAGGCGATGAGTGGAAAACTGCTTTTAAGACAAAATATGGTTTGTATGAATGGTTAGTTATGCCTTTTGGTTTAACTAATGCACCTAGTACTTTCATGAGACTAATGAACCATGTTTTGCGAGCTTTTATTTAAAATTTTGTTGTGGTCTATTTTGATGATATTCTGATCTATAGCAAAAACATGAAGGATCATGTTGAACATTTAAAACTTGTTTTAAATGTTTTGAGAAAAGAAAATTTATTTAGTAACTTGGAAAAGTGTACCTTTTGTACCAATAAACTTTATTTCTTAGGATTTGTTGTGATTGCGCAGGGTATACAAGTTGATGAAGAAAAGGTGTGTGCTATGCATGAGTGTCCTAGTCCCACTAGTATAAGCAATATTCATAGTTTTCATGGACTTGCTAGTTTATACCGAGGTTTGTGAAAGAATTTATTAGCATAGCTGCACCAATCACCGAATTAATCAAAAAGAACATTGGGTTCAAGTGGGGAGAAGCGCAGGAAAAAGCATTTCAAATGATCAAGGAAAAACATACCCATGCCCTATTTTGAGTTTACCTGATTTTTCTATGACATTTGAAATTGAATACGATGCTTCAGGTATTGGCATAGGTGCTGTTCTTATGCAGGAGCGAAGACCAATTTCTTATTTCAGCAAAAAGTTGAGTGGGAACACCTTAAACTGTCCAACTTATGACAAGGAGATGTATGCATTGGTTAGGGCCTTGGAAACTTGGCAGCACTACCTTTGGCATAAGGAGTTTATCATGAGAGTCTTTGAAGCACTTGAAAGGTCAACACAAGCTAAACAAAAGGCATGCTTGTTGGGTGGAGTTCATTAAGACATTTCCTTATGTCATTTGATACAAGCAAGTTAAGGAAAATGTGGTTGCTGATGCTCTTTCTCGAAGGTATGCATTACTTTCTACTCTTGATGCAAAGTTACTTGGTTTTGAACATATTAAAGATTTATACTATGATGATGTTGATTTTCGTAATGAATATCGAGCTTGTGATAAAACTGCTTGCGGTAAATTCTTTAAACATGATGGGTTTCTATTTTGAGAAAATAAGTTATGTGTGCCTAAAAGTTCTTTGCGAGAATTGCTTGTACAGGAATCTCATGGAGGGGGATTAATGGAACATTTTGAAGTTGCAAAGACTTTATTTGTTTTGTAGGAACACTTCTATTGGCCACACATAAGGCGGGATGTTGAGAGGATTTGTGGTAGGTGTGTCACATGTCGACAAGCTAAATCTCGAGTGCAACCCCACGATTTGTATACTTCTTTACCAATTCCTAATGCACCTTGGATTGATATTTCTATGGACTTTGTGCTAGGTTTGCCTAGGACTAAACGTGGTATAGATTCAATTTTTGTGGTGGTGGATCGATTTTCCATAATGGCAAATTTTATTCCATGTCACAAAACTGATGATGCTTCTAATATTGCAGATTTGTTCTTTAAGGAGATCATAAGATTACATGGTATGCCTAAAACAATTGTTTCTGATAGAGATCCTAAGTTTTTTAATTACTTTTGGAAGACCTTGGTGTAAGTTAGGAACCAAATTATTGTTTTTTACAACTTGTCACCCACAAACCGATGGTCAAACTGAAGTAGTAAATAGGACTTTGTCTAATTTGTTCTAAAGTAAATAGGACTTTGTCTAATTTGTTAAGGGCAATCATAAGGAAAAATATCAAAATATGGGAAGATTGTTTACCACATGTTGAGTTTGTTGATAATAGGGCTGTTCATTCTACTACTAAATTTTCACTTTTTGAAATTATTTATGGTTTTAATCTTTTAACGCCATTTGATTTAATTCCATTACCTATTTCTGAGCATGTTAACTTGGATGGTAACAAAAAGGTTGAGTTTGTAAAGCAGATACATGAGAAGGCACAACTGAATATTGAAAAAAGAACAAAGCAATATGAAAAACATGCCAACAAGGGGCGACACAAAATGATCTTTGAACCTGAAGATTGGGTTTGGTTACACTTGAGAAAGGAAAGATTTCCAGAACAAAGGCATTCCAAACTACTTCCAAGAGGAGATGGTCCTTTCCAAGTAGTTGAGTGTATCAACAACAATGCTTACAAGCTGGATCTACCAGGTAAGTATAATGTGAGAGTCACTTTCAATGTTACTGATTTATGTTCTTTTGATATAGACACTGATTTGAGGACAAATCCTTTTTAGGAGGAGGGGAATGATGCAAATGATAGCATGGATGGCAATGGCACGACTTCAAGTGAAGATTTAATTCAAGTTCCATGTGGGCCAATTACTAGATGCCGTAAAACGAGGGTGAAAGAAGCTCTTAATGGATTATTTCAGGAGGCTTGGACTCAAGCCAATTCATGGGGAACTAAGGAGAAAGAGCCACAAGGATTTATCAACTTATTCCAAGCCCAAGGATAAAGGAGTCAAATTATTATGACTGGATATTTTGTATTTTTATTATGGTTTAATAATGGCATGCATGCCAACTTGATGTAGTTTTCATTTATTTTAGAAGATATTTTATTTTCTCTTTTGTTTTCTTGTAAGCTTTAACCTATATATAGGCCTTATGTTAAATGAGAAGAGAACTTTTGATTCTTGCCAAAAAAAATACTTGCATTTGGGTTCTCTCACACTGTTTCCTTAGGATTCTAATGGAACTATAGGACATCGCCTAAGGAGTTCTTTCCCAACTTATCAAGCAGATTTTCACCCCATTTGTGGCGTCTTCTATTATACCAATGTTCTTTCCTCACGTCAAGCATAGGATTGCGGTCTTATACCAACGTTCTTGTTTGCGTTGAGCATTGGGTCAAGGTTTACCTCCAACCATCCATTTTATCGCAGGTTCTACCTATAATTTGGTTTGTTCCAGCCATGGGACGGTTTTATTGTTTGGTTTCTTACATCACATAAGAATTTCCATCAATTCTCTTCGGTTTTGGCATGCACATAGATTTTCTAATAAGAACATCGATCCCCACGATCCTGTCTTGCATATATGCAAATCAGGTAGGCCATTGCAGCAGGTTTAAAACAGAAAGCTTTGGGGTTAGCTATATGGCCAAAACTTTATAATCTTTAGTGCAAGCACTGAAAATTAACAGAGGTTGATCTGTACATCGGGTAAGTCTTAGCTTTGGTAATTTAAAAGTAGAAAATTTTAATTAATATAAGAAAATTTTAAAGCACGTGCAGCACAACACTATTTGATTTAATTTGCAAAATAACAAATCAAACTCAAAAGGGAGATGTGAAGCATTTTATGACCCAGTGGGGGACCCATTTTTCACACACAATGCCTAGGTGGAACTAGTCCACCAACGCACCTATCGGGGTCCGCCCGCACATGAAGATTAAAAGAGTCCTTAATGGCCTCCTGAACCCCTCCGTTCAAAGGTGATTAAATGACACTCCTGAAGTCCAAAGAGCTGGCCATACTTTCCTAAGACAGAAAATACTTTCCTAAGACAGAAATGGGTAAAGTATGTCAACAGAAGAAGAGTAATTTGGTCCAAGAGGGACATTGACTCATTATTGATGTGTGAGGATAATATTTTCTTATTTAAATGGAGAGAAAAGCTTGTCCCCAGTGGAGTCGCAGAAGCTATCAGCACTATTTTAGTTAAGGAGTTGCCTGTAAGAAGCTATCGGTCGCCGGAATAAAAATCTTGTCGCCCGCTTCGGAAGGACGTTTTAATGTTTAGAAAAATATGAAATCAAACTGACCCCATATTCTTCATAGTTTAAATTAAAGAGCGTTGTACCTCAAACTTTGTATATATCTCGAAAGATAAACACAAGACTTGAGGATGAGACTCGATCAAATAAACTGAGAAATATATGATGCCCGTTTGGTCTGTGAAACCGTTTTATTTACCGACAATTTCCCCTATTTAATATAAATAATTAAAAAGGGTTTATATTAAGCTGGGATTGGATGAGCTTCCTATAAGGGCAAGCCCCTATAATTAATTACATCCTAAATGACTGAAGTCATCTAAGAAGACTCTCGATAAAAATCAGGAAATTTTATCTTCAAGGATTTCAAAAGGATAGGACTTTTCAACGATACCGGACAAAGAGGTGTGTCATGGGATTGATTCAAATTTGGAGCATTTTATTTTGGAATCTAAAGGAGGAAGAATTAGGGGATGTCATAGATCCAGAGGAGAACCTTGGTGACCTCCCAAGCTATCCTATTGTTTGGCTTCAATTTTGAGGAGAAATTATTTAAATGTTTCATCCTGTCAATTTTATTTAATTAGGGCTTATATTTGTGTGAAACGATCACACAAATAGCCTAGAAGATGTGAGGAATGAGGTCGTGACGAACGATAACCTCAGAATCCTAATACGAGTTAGGGCTTACATTGTACAGTAGAGCCGTATAAAGGCATAAAGATGAGGTGAGGATTTATGTTGCATAAGCAGACAACCTCAAAATCCTATGGCATGGTTGTTTAATTCTAAGGAAGGAAATTGGTTTAGCTGGGGAAAATAGATTTTGCTGTTGAAGATGGTCGTGCTGCCCACTATGCTAGCACCAAGCTCCTCTTCATGGCGAGTTTAAGTTTTCTAGGGTTTCAAGTTATGATGTCAAATCAGATGGCCCTATGGTTGATGTTCTTTAAATGTTATAGGGGATGTTAAAGTTGATTATAGCGACACCGGTTAGAATCTCACGGGTCACTCGTTCTAGTACCACTATTTTCTATTGGATTCAGTTAGTCCAAATGAATTTACTAAACTCAACTTAATGAGTTTCATACTTTCATTTAAACCATAGGAAGCCTCGTTAGCAACCGTAGGTTACCTCATCCAAGGGATTCTCGATCATTCGATAGAGACGTCTTAATTTAGTTGTAGTTGTTGTTTTGTGTGATGTTTGTGATTAAATTATGAGTTGTCTTATATTTTAAATGTTGTGGAGGTGATTTTTATTTTGATTGATTTTAATTTTGGTTTTGGGTTTTGGTTTTGTGGCTATCCTGACAGTTTTAGTTTTCATGCAGGGTGACATTGTTGTTTAGCATGCAAGTTTATGTTTTGTTCTTACATGTAGGTAAGTAAGCATAGTGTGGAAAGCTTAAGAAAAGATAATGTTGTAAACTATAAAAGCGTACCTGGTGTGTCATCTCATTCCACCACCTGAAACTCAAAATGCATGTTAGAGCATTTTATGCAAAGCTGAAAAAGTAAGGTTTTAGTGACGATCCCTTGATACTGTTAATATGCACAGTACAACAATAATTCATATTATATTTCACTTTTTCAGATTATATTTCACTAACAATAATTCATATTATATTTCACTTTTATTTCCTTACTTTGTAACAAAACCAAAAACTTGATCCTGAAGAAAAATATTAATTTATATATATTGGGAGTATATATTGGGAGACTACGCAAGTATATATATCGTTATCAAGTAATATAGGAATTTTTTATTAAGACTTGAACATCGAAACCACAGGGTGAATACACGATATGCTTTATTAAACAACAAACTTTAATTTTTAATAAAAAGATAACTATCTAAACTAAAGATGATTTTTACTGTAATGAAAATTTAAATATTTTTTCGTATTTTCAATATTTTGATAGAACAATTATAATTTAAAAAGATAACTAGAGTTTTTCTAGAAGAAAAGCACTAAATATGAAAATATCTTTCTTAAAATATCTTTCTATGAAAATATCTTTCTTCTTGTTATGAATCAATAATAATTATAGGAATTCTATTGTGGAAGTATGCAAATTGTGTTTTGTCAAATAGAAACAATAACATTCTTTACCCTTACTAACCCTTACTAGAGATGCTATAAATACTTTAAAGTTTGAATAGTTCTGAAGACCGACAAGGCAGGGAAGATAATTGCTCTCACTCTAGAATTCCCTTGATTCCCT